GGGCAGCGGGCACACCAGACGATCATGGGTCCGGACCCACACCTCAGCTCCCCTCTTAGCGACTATGCAAGCTTTCCATCCCCGAGTTTTCTCTACAAATGGACACCCTCGGCATTGCCTTAAAACATGTATATATTAACCACACTAAAAAGCAGTCTCTTCCCCATCCCAGGGCCAGTCTGCACAATCATTAGGTTCTAACGTAAGCTTCATTTTCAGGCCAGCACACCCTCCGGGTCACAATACATTAGTCATTTGCCATTCAGAATTGGCACCCATTGTGTGCCAGAACTGTCTTTTAGCTCCTTCTCCCAGGTTTCAGGCTGGTAGGAACTGGCACCCACCGTGTGCCCACCACCCTGTCTTCTAGCTCCTGCTCCCATGTGTCAGGTTGGTCGGAACTGGCACCCACCGTGTGCCCCGCACCATGTCTTCCAGCTTCAGGTTGGTGGGAAGCTTCCAAGTTATAAGTGTTTGGGAGAAAGTTTATACCTCATTTGGGTGTTCCCAGTGGGAATACCCTCAGCGGTAACTGGCACAGAGTGAAATATTGCTTCCTGTGGGCCATGGGGATTGGACTGTCTCCCACCTAGCCAGGAAGTGCCTCCAGGCAGGAGCCGACTCTTCTAGAGGCCTGAGACAGGCCCGCCTCTTTGCATAAGAACTTGTTCAGGATGCTTTAACTTTGGGCTGGGGTGGGGTGGGTGGTGCGTCATTCAGGAAGACAGGTGGATTTTTTTAAAGCAATAAAATAGTACTATTATTTTAAAACTTTTTCGGACACTATCCTAGCATTTCATGTGTGTTGATTAACAGGTAGAAATGTAATTACCTGCATTATCTCTCTATATATTTAGTAAATCATTTATGTGTTAGGTATTTGTCCACAAGCACTCATTTTAGTCACCAGGGATATTGGAGAACATAGTATCCACACATTTTGAGAGACCTGAAGGTGTATGTCACTATCCCTGACTTCAGGGACCTTACAGTTGGTTCAGGAAGATAAGAAAAGCACATGTTAAAAAGCGCAGAGGAGCCAGATGCGGAGGCTCAACTGTAATCCCAGCACTTTGGGAGGCCAAGGTGGGCCCAAGAATTTGAGACAAGCCCCTTGCTTGAGCTCAGCCTGGGCAATATGGCAAAACCCTGTCCCTATTTAAAAAAAAAAAAAAAAAAAAGGCTGGGTGCGGTCCCTCAGGCCTGTAATCCTAGCACTTTGGGAGTCCAAGGCAGGTAGATCATGAGGTCAGGAGCTCAAGACCAGCCTGGCCAATATGGTGAAACCACATCTCTACTAAAAATATAAAAATTAGCTGGGCATGGTGGCGGACACCTGCAGTCCCAGCTACTCGGGAGGCTGAGGCAGAAGAATCGCTAAAACCCGGGAGGCCAGGGTTGCAGTCAGCCAAGATTGTGCCACTGCACTCTAGCCTGGGCTGGATGTCAAAAAATAAAATCCATCTCTTGGAATCCTGATTTTGGACTCCATCTCAAAAACAAACAAACAAACAAACAAACAAACAACAACAAAAAAAAGCTAGCCAGGCATGGTGGCATTTGCTTACAGTCCCAGTTATTAATACTTGGGAGGCTGAGATGGGAAGATTGCTTGAGTCCGGGAAGTCAAGGCTGCAGTGACCCATGGTCACGGCACTGCACTTGAGCCTGGGTGACAGAGCAAGACACTGTCTCAAAAAAAAAGAAAAAAAAAACTCTTGGGTTCAAGGCCCTGTGTGACTGGGCTGGGTGGGTGCTAATTTCATGACTCTGCCCTTGTTGAAGGGGCTTCTCTCTACTCTGCCTCAGTTCCTTGCTTCTCTAAAACTTCTCCTTTCCTACTTATAGCCCTGGGCCATCCTGGACAGGCATTGGCAGGCTCACCATCACTGTGGGACGGCCCAGGGTCATGTCTGCCAGGAATAACAGCACTTGAGAATTACCTATGCAAATTTTGCACTGACCAGTGATGAGCAAAATAATGTAACCCACATGCAGATTGGGGGTGTGGGGCTTTTGCCACTGGAGTTCCCCCGGCCTTGATGGTGGGAGCAGAGGCACAGTGACAGCAGACATTGGAAGCAGATGGCCGGGCCTAGGGAACCGTCTCTGACTCGGCAGTGAGGTCCCTCTCTGGCTGTTCTGTCCTAAAACCCTGTGGCTTTGCACAGAAGCCACGAGGTAAAAGGGGATGGAATAATTGTGTGGACATTTTCCCACAAACCTGTGCTCCCCAGAAATTCAGTTGTCTTTTTTTTTTTTTTTTTTTGAGATGGCGTCTCACTCTGTAGCCCAGGCTGGAGAGCAATGGCATGATCTCGGCTCACCACAACCTCTGCCTCCTGGGTTCAAGTGATTCTCCTGCCTCAGCCTCCCGAGTAGCTAGGATTACAGGTGCTCGTCACCTCACCTGGCTAATTTGTGTATTTTTAGTAGAGATGGGGTTTCGCCATGTTGGCCAGGTTGGTCTCGAACTCCTGACCTCAGGTGATCCACCCACCTCAGCCTCCCAAAGTGCTGGGATTACAGGCGTGAGCCACCGTGCCCAGCCTGCCCTTGTAACTTTTAAGGTAAATCTGTGAAGAGATGTATTTATTTGCACTGTATGTGTTTCAGGTTGAGGTGATTTTGTTTTGACACGTTGATTCAAAATAAGGTGGACCCTTTGGAAAATCAGCTTGCTGAAGCCATTTATTCAGCGCCGCTCGAGGGGTTTAATTGAAAACAGCTGAGGCACACTGACATCACCACAGGCCTCCAGACTGAAACGGACCTCAGAGGAGGCGCGCTGGCTCAGAGGAGGGAAAGCCTGGCTTCAAAAGTCAGAGCCCACGAAGCGAAGTTTTATCCGAGGAGGAAGGTTCTGCTAAAAAATAGTTCCTTTAGTATGTTTTTAAAAAACAAAGAAGCAAGAGGAGCTGGCCAGGCATATTTAAGAGCTTACAAGAGTAGCGAACAGTGAAGAACTCACTGGAACTCTGAAAGCAGCCTTGGATAGGCTGTGATGAGCAAGTGAATGGACGTCATGAGACAGTATGGTTTCTGTTATTTCCTAATTTGCTGCCATTTTATTTATTTATGGATGGACTCTTCTTCCCTTAGCACTCTTCTGTCCCCTATATTTGGTGATGAACAATTGCTTTGTGCAGTTGTTCTGTAGCCTCCTACCTTGGGCTGCAGAGACAACATCTAACGCACAGCTGGGCTCCAGGGCCTCGTGCTCCTGGTGTGGATGGCAAATGAAGAACTGTTTCTCATTTTCATGCAACTTGTACTTTTTGGCCCACTAATTTTGCAAGGAACTTACAAGAAGCAGAGAGAGGAGGAGGACGCCCTCTGTTTGGTCACATTAGTGCAGATCCGTCACTAGAAGACCTGCTTCTGGGAGGACGAATATCCCATGTGGAGGGGCCCTACCGTCAGGTGGTCAGGAAACCTTGGTTACCAGGTCAAAAGCATCGTCGTCAGTGCCAGAGGATGCTTGGTGAGGTGACTTAGGCAGGGAGGGTGGGGTGAGGGCTCAGTTGGCCTAAGGCCAGGATATGAAGTGAGTGATGTAGCATTTTTCCAGGGGAAAGTGTCCTTACACACCCCATTCAAAGGTTTAATATGATTCTAAGCAGTAGGAGCAGTTCCTCTGGTGACAGAGGAGGCCTGGAAGGCGCAACACAGCCTGCAGGGACCCCGCCACTCCCTCCCCGTGTGGCCCTGGGCCATCTGATTTGCCTGGCTCTGGCTTCTTGAGCTGTCCTGATGGTTCCTTCACACTTGAACGTTCTATGATTCTCTGACTAGCCTGAACCCTTAAGTGGCAGTGGGAATGTCACAGCCTCTTTGTGGGGCTAAAGATTCCATTGCTGTTGATTCCCCTGTACAGAGTCTGGGGTGGGTGTTGGTGGAGCCAGGTGAGTCTCTTTAGTGTGAGGCCTGGCCAGGGAGGAATGTGACAGGTGGGGTGAATGATCCTTCAGAGGAGCGGGGCCCCCAAGGACCTTCCAGTCCTGCTCTGGAGAGCCAGGGTGCAAGATGACGGGCCCCAGGATGTTTTAAGGTGAAAAAATAGCAGATCTGGGTGATTATTTCTCCATTGTGGTTTTCAAAATAGGCAAACCAGGTTCCCATTAAGCCAACTGACTCAACACTCCACTTCTTTCCCTGAGCCACTCCCTGCTCTCTCCCTCAAAATCTTTGAAATCTTGCTGCCATTTCATCACATTACCAAGTTGACACCGTGGTGACGACTAAACTCTGATTTTTTTAATCTTGCGCAAATTGCTATCTAAGGGGTCTGTGGAGTCATGCCCTACAAATCATAAATTCGCATCAGATGGGTTTTATTTAACCCTGTATATTGTGACTTACTTTCCAGCTTGACTCTGGCTGGCATAACATTATGAGACAAGGAAGAAAATAAAAATATTTTACCCCAAAACATGTTTCTTTGCCATATTTTGAAATGGCGCTGCACAAAGCTGTTTTTTTGTGGGGGAAAAATTTGCATCTGTAAAGAATCTCTATTATAGTAGCTAGATCTTTTTCTTCCTGACCCTCCCAATCCTAAAGAGATTAACTAAGATCTGAATAGGAAACTTTTGTCATCTATTGTCTCTAAGGGCAGCCACTATTAGACTTCAAAAGAACTTTTTCCACAATCTTTACCTTAACCTGAACATTCCCTTTCTATGAATCCCAGTTGTTTAGACAAACTCAACCAATTGTCAACCAGAAAATGTTTAAATTCACCTATAACCTGGAACCACCGCCCCTCCCACCCGCCACATTTTGAGTTGTCCCGCCTTTCTGGACCAAACCAGCGAATTTCTTAAATGTATTTGATTGATGTCTCATGCCTCTCTAAAATGTACAAAACCAAGCTGCGTCCCGACCACCTCGGGCACATGTTCTCAGGACTTCCTGAGGCTGTGTCATGGGTCATAGTCACTCATATTTCGCTCAGAATCTTCAAATATTTTACAGAGCTTGACTCTTTTCGTAGACAGTGGGAAGTGATGGAGCATCAGAGCCCAACAGACAGACGGGGTTTCTCCTTTCTAACTACGTGAGGACACCCGACCTCTCCAGGCCTTGTTCACCTGGGAACCGATAACATCACGTTACAGCTTTGCTGAGCAGATGTCACTAAGATCACATAGGTGAGCACACCTGGTACACAGTAGGTACTTCACATGCACTTGTTCCCTACCCTTTAGAGCCAAGACCTCTTGAAGAAACCCACCTGGATCTGGTCACCAGTGACTCAGAAGCCCAACGTGCATGCACCTTACATAACCGCCACACGCTATCCTGTGTGTCACGATCTCGCTATACTTTCGGTTCTAGTGTTTTCCTTTATTCACTCCCTCCTAGGTGTCTTTAAGCAGCTCTGCTCTCTGGTTTCCGCAAGCAGAGCTCCATTTTCTCGGTACCTCTCCACAGTGCCTGGATGGTGCTCTCTAGGCCCTGGGGGCTGGGGCTGGCTGTGATTTCTGAGCTTCGAAGATCCCCCAGACCCCTGCTGGAAGCAAGTTCCTCCTGCCTTGGGTGTGCCTGGGTGTGCTGAGTCGAAAGGCTTTTTTTTTTTTTTTTTTTTGCGGGGAACTGTGTGTGCACAACACAGCGAGGGAGTGACCTAGTCCAGGGAGCCGTCTCCCTTTGACACAGCACGCAGAGGAATAAAGACCCAGGCTCTATCATAAAATGGGGGCAGGTAAAGAGCAGTTAGGCGAGGGGGCGTGGGCCGTCAGGGTAGGGGCCTCAGTAAACAGTGTTGAACAAGGGCCTCTCCCAGCTCCACCCTGGCTTTAAACCCCACGGTTTGTAGTTCAGCTCCAGAGGCCTCCCAGTGACCCCAATCTCATTCCTCTCGACTCAACAGTGATGGCGGAAGGCAGGAAGATAAGCTGGACTCCTTGAAGCCGACACCCCCCAGGGAAATTCCATCACCCGCCTTGAGCACTGTAGGCCGGGCTGGGGTAAGGGTGGGATGTGGAGAGAAGGGCGGGGCTGGGGAGATAAGAGCCTTCCGGGGTGGAGGAGGCAGCCAGTGAGGCCAGGGACTGCGCTGGGGCAGGGGCCGGGCTAGGGGGCAGGATCCCAGCGGAAGGCCATCTGCAGCCCTGGCCCTGGCTAATGGGATATCCTGGTGGAAAGCAAGTGGGGATCTAATTAGGGTAAAATCCAGGGCTAATGAGCTGTGGAAACAACGGGACAAAGGAACGATTCCCACAAGCTCAGGATGCGACTCGGAGAGTCCACCTCAACTCGGCCTCCTTCCCAGCTTTTCTACCCCAGGGCCCTTCCTGGCTTCCTTCCTCCACCTTCCTTGGCCTCAGACCTGCCGTGCGGCCACCGTATCCCAGTGTCCATGGCTCCCCCTCAGCTCCAGCTCTGCCTCTCTTCCCATCCCTTTCGTTCTCTTTCCCTCTCCTTGCCCCTGGTTCTTCAGCCCACGTGTCCCTAGCGTCACCCTGCTGTTCTCGGTATGCCTCGTTTCTTTGTTCTCCTCCTCCGGGAGTGGGAAGAGCTAGGCTCTGGGCTCCCGGGGTAGGCTGGGTGGCAAAGGGTGAACCCGGAATGGTTGCCTAGGCAATGAGGAAAGTAGGACAAACACCAACCAGCAATCAGGAGAAAAGGGAAGCCCACGGAGGAGGGGACTGCGTCCCAGCCCAGCCTAGCCTGGAGACCTCCTTGCTAACCCTCAGCCCCACTGTCCCCATCCTGGCTCATCCCCAGAAGCTGGTCCAGAAGGAAGCTTGAGCGTCTCTGCAGGAGCTCCCGCCTGGCTCCCTCACAGCCGACATTTGCGCAAGGCCCTTGGGCCAGAGCGATTCCCGGGCGGCCTGCCTCCTCGCAGCGTGGCCTCTTTCTCAGCAGGCCCAGGGCATATTCCTTCTTCCAAAAGACCAGCCCATCAGGGCAGCCCTAAGAGGGCACACGAGCAAGGCCAAGGAGGGCAGGGTCCTCACCAGGGCAGCTCCCTGCTGTTTCTGGCTGGGAAGCAGAGGACATGCTGCTTCTTGTCGGCACCCATGGCCAATAGGTTTTGTGGAGGAGGAAGGAGGAACCATGGGGCCTTCTCTGATGGAAAGGAAAGGAAGAGGCTTGGGATTGGGAGAAGCTGTGGGGAGGACTTCCAGAGGCTTCAGACGTGGGGCCCAGGCTGAACCTCCTCAGTGAGGGCCATGGGTGCCTGGCACAGGAGGCATTTCCAGGCAGGGAGGGAAAGAGACAAAGTGACTAAGGTTTTGGGACATACCATGGTGGTGGAGACAGCGTGGCTCACGCTGAGGCCTGAACAAAAAGCCTGATGGGTACAGGTGCCCTTCAGGCTGGAAGGCGGGGGGCAGGGCAGCCAGCTGCCCCAGTCCTGAGTCAGGCGCTGAGCCAAAGGCCTTGCTTTCCAGGGCTCCAGCACAGGCTGCTCTCCTGGGGAGAACAGCAGCACCTGCGGCCTGCACCGTCCAAGCCAGGGGCCCCACCAGGGTGTGCCCACGGCCACGCTTGTGCTCTGAGGACTCTCTGTGCCCCTCACCAAGATGGGGTGAGATTATCTGCTTGTGCCACTACCCCTGGCTTCAGGCCTATGAACTCTGCCTGGGAGTGTGGCCCATTGCTGTAGGCCAAGCTTCGGACAGGTGTTTCGGCCACCTGGTTGAGGACTTGCTGGGGCTGACCCAGGCCATCACTGACTGCGTGGCAACGGACTCTTTCCGAGCCAGCAGTGAGCTGGGTCCCAGGGGGCTGTGAGGTCTCTGTATGTTCGCCGTGACTCCTGAATTCAAGGACACACCCCTGGGTTCCTCAGGTCCCACTCTTCCCAGTCTCCCCTCCCACCCATGAGCCCAAGGACCCATCCTTCTCAGCACCTAGAACAGATTCTGAGTAGGGACCACAGCCTTTTCCTCCCCTGGGTGGCCTCACTTTGCACCCACTGTCCTGAGTCTGGTGTGTTCATGGGGCAGCTGGTTCCTCCAATCCCACCCTTCACTGTACAGTTGTGAACCGAGACCAGATTCCAACCTTAAGCTCTAAGACCCTGGAGCCAGTGAGGCCTGAAGGCCTGAGGAAGGGGCTTCGTGCCCAGCACACAGTTGATACCCGTGAAGAATCTTCCTGAATAAACCATTTCATCTCTAGCCTATGAGTCCCTTCTGAATCTTCACCTTTATCAATGACAGGCTCCATTTGTTCAGAAATACAAGGATGGCTACCTGGTGTTTGTGTCTTCAACACCTGCCTCCCACCTCCATTCCCAGCAAGTTCTAGTTCTCATGACCTCCCTTAGATATTTTAAATTTTCCACATGAAAGCACTCACAATCCATTCAAACTGTCACAGAACTAGTAGACTCATCTTGCTTTCTGGAACTGGTAAAAGGATTTGATGCCCGTTTCTTTTATGCCATGGTCCTACTCCAGCTGTCCACCCTTGGAAGTAGGAGGCAGAGGGAAGATGGAGGCAGTGTCCTCCACCTGTTTGCAGACATGCCTGTGCAGGAGGCAGGAGAGACTCCAAGCTCGCTACCTACAGAGTTCTGGCTTCCCAAGCGAGGTTAACTGCAGAGAAGGCGTCAGAGTCCCTGGGATCTGCTACTTTAACTGGGGAGGCCTGTAACATCGAATTACTAGGTTCTCTAGTAATCATTTTCCCTCTGAAAAGAATAACGCCCATGGGAGACAGAGCTTCGGGGAGGCTGAAGCAGCCCATCTGGGCCTGGATGTTGTTTCATGTGGAAGATGGTATTTGCATCCTGGAGAAAGTATCTTGGTGTCGAGGCTCTGGCTGTGGGGCTTAGGTGCCTGCAGCACCCCCTCTCCCCTGACATCCCTCCTGAGCCAGGCAGGCCTTCAGCACCCCTACCAGGGAGACTCTAGACTGAGAAGTAACCCCCTCAGTCACTGGGCCTCCACGATGTTGGTCTTCCGTAACTTACAGGCCTTGCCTCAATGCTGCCCCCCTTCATGTCTGGGAGAGTCTTTATTGATTGCTGGGGACCAAAACCAACTTAGACTAGGGATCCTAGTTCCAGCACACACCCCCAGGGCCCTTTCTTCCTTTAAAATAGGTGGCTGACTCTGGCCTTTCTTCACTGACAGGCAATGTCTTCCCGCACTGCTTTGTTTTCTTCTTCATCTAAGTGTCGTCCCGTGAATCTCACAGTGTGGTCTTTGGACCAACAGCACCACCATCACCTGCAAGCTTGTTAAGTGCAAATTCTCTAGTTCTACCCAAGACCTGCTGAATCAGAGACTCTATCCGTATTTTAACAAGCCCTCCAGGGGATTCACGGACATGCTGAAGTCTGCGAACCACTGGTGCAGTATATTACCTAGGAGCCCTGAGAAGGACACTTCATTTAGTTTTCTGATCCACACAAGGAGAACCCGTCCAGGCGCATGAGGCTTGCGGCTACAGTGTCTTCCCAAGGAAGGCGGGCTACTGACCTCCCACATGTCCCGCATGTAACCCATCAGCTGAGCCCTGGCAGTGCAGAGGCCAGAGGCCAGACTGGGAATTCACCGAATGCCTCTTCATGAGCTCTTTTCTTCCAGAAGGTGCAGCAGGAATTCAGATGGCTGTAGGCATTGCCATAGCAACTGCACCCCTCCGAAGCGCTTATGGGCTGCAGGAGCACAGTAAGCAGAGCGAAGAGGGGCGCGTCTGCCAGTGGATGAAGCCTCACCAGCAGATGAGAGGGGCCACGAAGGGAAGAGGAGGCTCAGGATGGCTGGGACTTATGGACAAGAACTCGGTGGAGCTGTTGCTTCCTCAAGACCCACGATGTATTAGGTAGCCCTCCAGGAGTCCTCCGGCACAGAAAAACAGCGCCAGCCCAGGCTATGGTGCTGCATGGCAGCCTGGCTCACCCAGGAGTCAGTGATGCCGCAGTCTCTCAAAAGACCGTCTACCTAGGCTGCTCAGTGGTCCCAGAGCAATTAAGATGGAAGTGCCCATCTTCCTTCTGTGATGACCATCTGTGTTCCTCGCCAGGGTTGAGGAAAGGGACCCAGTTCCAAACGTCTGACAGGGATGTGGGTCCTAAAGCAGATGCCAACAGTCATGAGGGAGCTCGGGGCTTAGGTAATGGCGGATATTCTAGCTCTACAAGACATCAACCTTAGCAAGAACCAGCATCACCAGAGTGCACCCAGTACCTGAGTGCTGGCCTCAGAGCTGAGGACACAGAGTCAGCAGGGGCTTGGGCAGAGGAGAGGGCCCCATGCCCTTGGAAACAGGGATCCCTGCTTGCCTGGAAGGCCAGAGAGGGGCCACGGTGAGCAGAACCCCGTGGAAAGTTCGGGGGGACACAGTGCCAACCAATGGGAAGATGAGCTATGGGGGAGAAGAGACAGACAGGAAAGGATGGAAGGAGTGAATACCCACCCCTTCTATTTTACCCTGACTGGGCCTTGGCAGGCTTCCCTGGGACTCCATCCGTGCGCGGCCAGGAGTTGATCCCACCGGCTCTGCACAGACCTCCTCAAAGCCAAGGTCAGGGGTCTGCAGAGGTGGGTGGGGGATGCCAGGGAGCCAGCTGTGGGGCTTCTCGCTTCATTACAGTCACTGCCCTTTATAAATATTTATAGCAGTTCTTCTGCTAAAAATAACATCCTGGAGCCCAGGGAGGAGGAAAAAATAAATGAAAATCACCGGGAACGGGACTTGATCACGTGTACCCGAGCCCAATGGACCCCTAAGGCGAAAGGCTCCGAGCAGCGCCCCCGGCGGCGCGCCCCCTGGCGGCCACGGAGTCCGCGGCGCAGAGAGTCCCTCCCGCCCTCTGCCAGGCGGCCAGCCGGGCTGCGGCGCGCGGCGCGATCTCCGCCCCTCCCTCCGGGTTGCAGGCGGCGGCATCACACGGGGCGGGCGGAAGCCTAACCAGTGTGAGGCTATTTTTAGCACCGTGGCCAGGGTGTGAATGTCTACAGAGCCGAGCAAGGCCTGACGCTTTCTTTGCACGCTAGAAGAAACCTGTTGGTTCTTAAAGGTCAAAGATAAGGAAACTTGTGCCCCCACGTTTGGGAACACCCCACGTGCTGGCCAGACGCCAGGCAGAGTTCTATCAGGTCACAAACACACAAGAGCTTGGTGCTTTTTCTTTTCTCTTTTCAACCTCCAGGTAAATTCCTGATGCGGAGATGAGACCATGCCCTGAGGGGAGTGATGAAGGTGCTAGTACATGCAGGGCTGTGCAGGGGGAGGCCCACCAGCTGTGTCACGCAGCCCCTCCCCGCTTCCCACCGGCTCTGGCTCCCCTCTGCCTGGCGGGTGGAGTGACGTCTGGCAGCCTGCAAGCCTGGTCCAGGTGTGCGGTGGAAAGATGGAGAGGAATGTGCCTCTGGGGGAAGACCTTGCCTTCGCCATGTCGGCGCCAGCTTGCTCCTCGTCCTCTGTGCCTGCGCAAGACACACTCACCGTTAGTCACAGGCACTGCTGAGGGTTCAGGACAAAAGCTGCTAACATCTACTGTGAACAGGAGGCCCTGCGGGGAGGGGCTGCTAGGATGCTGGGCGCCTTTCAAGCGCTGAGCTGAAGGGTGGTACCTAGGGTCCTCTGCTACCATTCCTAAGAGTCAGGAAGTGTTTCCGTGGAGAACTGGGTTCACAATGCAAGGTTTGGAATGGGGTGCTTTCTTGGGGAGAACTGTGGTCCAGGAGAAGGGCAGGGAGGGCTGAGGTGTGCCGATGAATACAAAGAGGAAAGGGAGGAAGCCTCAGCCCCAGGCCACCAGAGCGCAGGCCCGGGCATCCATGGAACCGCGGCGCCCAAGTTTAATGCTTTTAGTTTAACTCCCGACTGTTGGTGTTTCTCATCACCCCTGATGTGGGTCAGAGAGGGCACGATTAGGAGGCAGAAAAACCGGCTCCAATTCTGCTTCTGGCATACAGCTTCCGGTGTCGGGCTTTGGTTTCCTCCATGTGCAACAAGGCGGTGGGGGCACATGGCTCTGCCACGTTTCCTTGCACCGCAGTTCCTTCCGCCCGGGGGAGAGAGGGGCTCTGGCAGGCTCCTGCAGGGCGAGTCAGTTCCTGATTTCCCTCCTCGGCTGCCACGGCCTAGGCTTGCTTGGGAAAGGACCTTGCCTGAATGTGCACAGTGAGTTTAGGGAGAAGCGTCTCTCCAAGCCCCTGGGGCACTGTGATTTCCAGGGCAGCGAGAGAATGCGCGTGGCCCAGGTGCTGCCCACCTCTCAGCTTGCACAATCCAGAGTCAGCGCAGGCTGAGGCTGCAGGGGCCCCAGGGGAACGGGCAGAGCCCTTCAATGGCCTGGCGCAGTTGGGCAGAGAGGGCTGAGAGGGCCAGAAGCTATTCCAGGATGACAAGACTTGGGAAAGTCTGAAAAAACTCCTTTTCTGGATTGTGGGGCTAGGGCCCTGGCTTTTTCACCTAAGGAAGATGCCTAATTTTTAAATATAAGAAGTAGGGGAAGGGGGAGGGAAGACAAGATTTTAAAATGGAGAAGTCTGATATCTTGGCGCTGGGACTAGAAAGAGTTAAGGTGTGGAGATGGAAAATGGGAATGACTAATTCCTAAAGGCAATGAGCATCTGCCACTGGAGCAGTCTGTACTTCTCTGCACTGCTTCTTCAGGAAGTGAGAAGGTGCAGCTTGGCCGGGCACCATGGGTAGCGGCTTGGTCAGCCCTGTACGTAGCGTGATCCTGCATGAATCACATGTCTGTGGGTTAGGGACTGTGACTCGGTGCAGTGCTGGGTGACAGAATCCAGGGACACACTGGCTGTGGTTTGGATCCCAGGAAGGAAGTGGGCAGTGGCTGTGGTAAAGGAGCATGGGAGGCAGTGCTCCCCAGGGAGGTGGCCTTGCTCAGCACGCCCTGTTTCAGCCAACGGTGTTGGGTCTGCCAACGCCATCCCAACACAGAGGTCACCAGGCCATGCCCAAGGACCAGGCATGCAGACAGTGCCGTGCAAGACAGGACACGGCCTAGAAATAGGGCAAGGAGGGCACATGGCCAAGGTGGGCAAAGGGAAGGGAGTCGGGCTCTTGCATCTTCACCTGTTAGGACTGTCCTGGCTTGGGACCTGTGACTGCAGAAAGGAAGGGGAAGGGAAGATGTTGAGGAAGGAGGGAGGGGCCGTGGGGAGGCAGAGAACTCTCTGTACTCACCTGAGCTTCCTCTGTGTCCGGCTCCTCTGCTAACCTGTGGCAGCACGGGCAGAAACAACACGCTGAGGTCACGGCCAGGTCTTCTCATGCCCCAGACTATGCTTCCCTGAACCACCCACTCCAGGGGCTTCCTTGCTTCTCCCCTGTTACTTGTATGTTGACTTTTCCCACCCAGGTATGACAGCAGGCTAGAGTCATACTTTCTACTACCATAGCCAACCCAAGGCAGCTATGGAGACAGATGCTTCTCAGGAGAAGGAAAGTCATTAAAAATGGAATCAAATCTCCTTAAATCCAGGGAGCAGTTACATGAGGGGGGCAAAACCTACCCAGCTCTAAAAGTTCCCCAAGGGACTGCACCTTGGGTGAGGGCAGTCCCCCTCCTGCAGATAGTCTGCTTTGAAAAGCCATGCGCTTGCTCACCCGGGGCTCGAGCACTGCCTGGCCCCTCCCGAGCCTGTTCTGTTCTGAGGGCCACTGCTGTCCAGCCTTGCACCAGGGCTCTTTATGGATGCAAACTGGATTTACAACCCCCACACCGGGATGGCAGGGTCTGGGAGGGGAGATTCTGAAGGACACAGGAGCGTAACATGAGGCTCTGGAGGGTGGAGAAGACATACTATGGGGGGAGGTGTCAGTCTGTGCTTCTTCTATGTGTCTTGGTTACACTTCTCTGAGAAGATGCATAGGAGGAAGGGTACCCCAATGGAGCAGAAGCGTTCCCCAGGATGCAGCCAGCCAGCCAGCCAGGGGTGAACAGGGAGAGGCGTGAGGTAGGGGTGAAAATGCCAGGGAAGTTCAGCTTGGTCCAGATTCTTCAAAAGTCCCATTTGACTCTCAAGAGTTTCCCTATCGAGCAGACTGTTTGCCTGACAGTGCTGACCAAATTCTGTTTATATTACGTCAGCATGGTTTCAACCCCAAAGAAGCAAATATACTCTCTCTCCCTCTTTACAGTTGACAGTTACAGATCTCTGGTGTCCAGGTGACTGCAGTTAGTTCTAGGTCTGTAAAATTTCAGGCCTAGCTCATGGCAGAGAATCAGGAGGTCCACCCACAAAAACACTTAGTCTTAGAAAAATGCCTGTGTATCAGCTACATTGTAGTTTCAGGGACATATCATAGGACCTATATAATGTGGAAAGCCAAACATAAAAACTCTACCATCTCTCACCCCAACTATTAACACTCTTGGCCTTAGGGATGACACCAGGAAGTCACATAAAATTCAGGCATTCCCACAAAAAGATTTCACATAGACATACAGACATTCTAGTATATGCATTGAAAGACACACAAGGAGCTCTAAGGGCAAGAGGCACAGAAACAAGAGATGAGGACAGGGCAGTGCAGGTGTAAAGACAGCACCCTGGGGCCTGGAGGGCTGGGCAAGGGAAACCCAGTCTGATGAGGACAGGGCAGTGCAGGTGCAGAGACAGCACCCTGGGGCCTGGAGGGCCAGGCAAGGGAAACCCAGTCTGATGCAGACAGGGCAGTGTAGGTACAAAGATAACGCCCTGGGGCCTGGAGGGCCGGGCAAGGGAAACCCAGTCTGATGCAGACAGGGCAGTGCAGGTGCAGAGACAGCACCCTGGGGCCTGGAGGGCCGGGCAAGGGAAACACGGTCTGATTCCCATGTGAGGCACGGCCCACACTCAGAATGGAACCAGGATAAGGGCTGGAGTTCGTGGCCAGGGCAAGGCCTCAGTGGCTGGGGCAGAGTCCTAGGTTTGCTTTGGGGGAGTGAAAGGGACTGAGGAGAGGCCATGGGAAAAAGCTACTGGGGAAGGGAGGGGCAGGTGAAGGGAGGCCAGAGATGCAGCTGTTACGTCTTCAGCCAGGAACATTCCACATGAATGCTGGGATTTGGTTGGCATGTGCGTGTGTGTGTGCATGTTTGGAGCATGTGTTTACACCAGTGTAAATTTATCTCTATCTCTTCACCTCTTGCCCTCCTGCCTTCTTTCTTATGTGTGTGCGTAAGTCAACTGTTTCTACATTTCTATGAAGCATTCCTAGATGTCTGAAACACTACTCTCTCTAATGTGACCTTTTATTTTTATTTTTTAGAGATAGGGCTTTGCTCTGTCACCCAGGCTGGAATGCAGTGGCATGACTATGGCTCACTGCAGCCTTATACTCCTGGGCTGAAGCAATCCTGCCTCTGGCTCCCAAGCAGCTGGGACTACAGGTGTGCACTACCACATCTGGCTAATTACTTTTATTTTTTGTAGAGATGGGGTCTTGCTATGTTGCCTACGCTGGTCTCGAACTCCTGGCATCAAGTGACCCCCCTGCCTCAGCCTCCCAAAGTGCTGGGATTACAAGCGTGAGCCACCATGGCCAGCCTAGTCTGACCTTTTGGCGTCCATGCCACATACATCATTCTCATCAACTCAGTGGTGCTGCTGTCCACTTCCTCCCAGGACTAGCTCAGACTCACTAGATGATTTCAGAATCTGCAGAATGTTCCTCCTCTTCTCCCAGTTTCTTCCTCAGCAATTTCAGTTCCTTGCTGACAAATTCCTTGCCCCCTGAGACTCCAAAGACCTCTCTCTCTTAGCCACACCAGCCCCTATGGGCCAAGAACACCCCAGACCTGCTGTCCCATAGGTTTCCCTTTCTTGTCACAGCTTCCTTACCTGTAGCTCCCACTTGACTTATATCCTTCCTTAAATAAGACCACTCCACTTCCCTTAGTCTACCAGTTCTGCTCAGACTAAAGCATGGGTATTAGAGTTAAACTCAGGCTGTGCTATTTATCACCTGCAGGTTCTTTCACTCCCCCGAGCCTTGTTCAGAATTCCTCCCTGGGAGGGCTGCTGCTGGCTCCTCCGCATCCTTCCTGCTCTCCCTACCTTCACCTCCTTGGGGTGACCAGCCACTGCATTTCTCTCCCCTGATAAGGTACTCTCTATCTCATCACCCCATTTATTTCCTTTGATTTGCTCATTTATTGACTTCCTACTAAGCACCAGGCACTGGAACACAATATGAACAAAACAGACTAAAATCTCTGCCTTGGGGAGCTGATGTTTAGGAGGAATCCAGCAACTAACACATTAATGTGCGACAGAAGGACAGCTCACCCTCAAATATCCAAAGAAAATTTTGTTTTCTGTTCAGTATAACATAGAAGGATGAAGATTAAGAGCATGAAGTTTGGAGTCAGAAAGACCCAGTTCTCTGCTTTTTTTTTTTTTTTTTGAGACAAAGTCTCTCTTTGTCGCCCAGGCTGGAGTGCTGTTCCATGATCTTGGCTCACTGCAACCTCCGCCTCCTGAGTTCAAGGGATTCTCCTGTCTCAGCCTCCCGAGTAGCTTCGATTACAGGCATGCACCACCACACCTGGCTAATTTTTGTATTTTTAGTAGAGACAGGGTTTCACCACGTTGGCCAGGCTGGTCTCAAATTCCTGGCCTCAAGTGATCCACCCACCTCGGCCTCCCCAAGTGCTGGGATTATAGGAGTAAGCCACCACACCTGGCCTAATCTCTGCCATTCAACAGCTACATGAACAACAGCTCTCTGAGCCTATTTCCTCATGGGTAAAACAGGGATATTCGAATTTGTCTCACAGTGTTGTTAAGGATTAGATGAGATCATCATATGTGAAAATCATTCCATGCAGCTCTTCCCAGATGTCATGTTTGTTAAGCAGGTTTGATATATAATGAAACTAGGAAGGCACTACTGTCCTTTGCTGACACCTTCCCTTCTTGCTTTTATTCTTCCACGAAGCCACAAAACCATTTGGCTATTCTGGCCCACAATAATATCCTCCTTTTCAGAAACCCTTATTATACTTATATGTTGAAAGTTTTATGATTAGCTTTTTCTGTCACTTCATTTGATCTCCTGTTTACTTTGCATTTTTGGTCTTGCTTTTTTTTTTTTTTGAGTTTTACTCTTGTTGCCCAGGCTGGAGTGCAGTGGCGCGATCTTGGCTCACTGCAATCTCTGTCTCCTGGATTCAAGCAATTCTCCTGCCTCATCCTCCCCAAGTAGCTGAGACTACAGGCGCCTGCCACCACACCTGGCTAATTTTTTGTATTTTTAGTAGAGATGAGGTTTCACTATGTTGGCCAGGCTGCTGGTCTTGAACTCCTAACCTCATGATCTACCCGGCTCAGTCTCCCAAAGTGCTGGGATTACAGGCATGAGCCACCGCGCTCCGGCCTGGTCTTGCTTTCTTAACTAGATCATAAACTTCTCCAGTCAAAGGGTCATCTTTTGTGTTCTACTTGTATCTACTTCCTGTATCCCAACCACCTATCCCAGGATCAGGAAATGAAGCTCTTCGTGATTGACTGACATTGGCTCCTGGAAGGTAAAACCTGACTGTCAGATGGGAAAAGTAGGTACAGGGAACTCGGGTCCGAAAGCTCTGGGAAAGGTGGTGGCAGGGAGGAAGGCAGAAACAAAGTGGAGGGCAGTTCATCCATGAGCTCTGGCTCCCCATTTAAACTAGGAGTCCTGTTGAGCTGCCTTTACCTCTGTCTTTCCCATTGTGCATCTTCTCTTCTTCTTCCTCTGCACCTTCCTCTGCTGTGAAAACAAGTCCAGGGAGGCCAGTGACCCTTCAGCACAGGACAAGTTCAGAAGGAGGGTGAACAAAGCAACTACTGAGGCTTGGGAGGAAACTCTAGCTAACAGCTCCTGGCTGCAGGCCTCCGAGGGTGCTTCAGCTCACCAGTCTGCACTTGTGTGGCCCACGCCCCAGCACTGTTGAATAGGAGCCCGTGAGCCCAGAGCCACAAGGCGCAGTGCAGTCACATCACTCACTTTCCTGACCGGGATGGGGGGCGTGCGGTGTGGGGTTGTGTGCCTCCGTTCTGTGCCTGTCTGCCCTCAGCTGGTGATGACCAGGGAGACATCTAATGTCTTGCATTCAGGTTTAAGAAAGTGACCATACAATATATGGTGGGGGAATACCTAGATTAATACGGGGTTCTGTAAAAAAAAAAAAAAATCCGGATGTTTTAGCTGATGATAAACTTAAGATGACCGCACAGCGCAAAGTGGCTATGTGGGAAGCGCTAATGCTGTCTAAGGTGCTTTTCCAGGGGCCACTCAAGAGGGTCACAGATGCCTTGTGCTCTGCAGGGACAAGATCCCCTGTGATGGACAGCAGGGTGCCCAGCCCTGGGCGTGCACTTTGAATAGGAGCCTTGGAAAATGGCCACATCCTGGTGTGGTCAAGCAGGCTGGTAAGAGAAAACCATGTCATGTTTGGAAAGGTGGAAGGAATTGGGTGTAGCAGTCTACAGAGGAGAACACTAGGAAGGGTTATCATCTGCCATCCAACCCGTGACAGGTGAGCCTGCAGAGGAGGGACCGAGCTTGTCCTGGGTGGCTTTGGAGGACAGGGATAAATCAATTACAGAAAGGCAGATTTTGGCTCCCCACTGAGGAAGAACTTTCCAGTGATTAGAGTTGATCATGAATGAGCTCACTGGAAATATTCAGAGGACTGTTTTATTGGGTGGCAAGTTAGATTAAATGACTTCTAACATCCTTTCCAATTTTTTTCTTTTTCTTTTTTTTTTTGAGATGGAGTTTTGCTCTTGTTGCCCAGGCTGGAGTGCAGCGGCGCAATCTCGGCTCATGCAACCTCTGCATCCCAGGTTCAAGTGATTTTCCTGCCTCAGCCTCCCGAGTAGCTGGGATTACAGGCATGCACCACCACGTCCGGTTAATTTTGTATTTTCAGTAGAGATGGGGTTTCACCATGTTGGTCAGGCTGGTCTTGAACTCCTGACCTCAGGTGATCCACCTGCCTCAGCCTACCAAAGTGCTGAGATTACAGGCGTGAGCCACTGTGCCTGGCCTCGATCCTTTCCAATTCTAGGATTCCATTATCTGTGAAAAAACTTTATAAAGATGAGGAGTACAAGCTATGTACATACAGTATGTATATACTGTATAGACTATATGTAAAGATAATCCAAGTATGTCCTCTCATTGGAACAAAAACCTGTCAAGTCACTGTCAAGGAGATAGTAAAAACGTGTTGGTGTTGGGCGAAGTTGTTCTATTCATTGAGAAACTGGTACCCTCACATGCAAAGGGAGTTTATGTCTGCATGTTAGAGGGATACCATGCCATGTGTGGCTTTGGTCCACATCTACCTGCAGGCTTCAGTGACTGAAAGAACATCAGGGAAAGGGGCCTCTGGGACTCTGGGTTTGATGTCTTGTCCTGGAGGGGAGTAAGATCTCTGGCTTAATGCTCTGAAGGCCCAAGTTCTAGGACCAGCTTTCCCCCTTCAAGCTGCACGACCTTAGGCAGACAACTTTTCTGATAAGCATATGCAACATTTCTAAAGTAAGGGACTGGACAATGTGCACTCTAAGGCACCTTCCAAATTACACTACATAATTTTGTTGAAACCATTCTTTCCTACTATGAGACACTGCTGAGTATTCCTATAACCTTTAAATTTTTGTGAAGCTATTTGGTCTCTATGTGCTTTATGCTTAATGGTATTTAATGACCTCTCACCCCAGCACGATGAACGCAGAAGCCACTTATTTTGCATAAACTCTAATAAGTGGCCATGAAGTACAAGTGTAGTTAATTTCCATGGCCCAAAATTCCCTAAGAAATTTCCTCTAAAAGTGGGATTTCTGGCATCTGTGGGGAGCTGTATTAGGGAAAGTGCCTTCTAATCACCTGTGAGGTCATCCCAAAGGCTGTCACCTCTTCTGTTCATGGGTACAGAGGGGGGCCGTGCTTCTGACGGGGGTTGAGAAACAGTGCTAGAATGGAGAGGGTGGCGCCATCAAACCAGAGAAGCAGCGTCTGACCTTCACTGGCTGGAAAGAGTAGCCTGGGCCACACACTCACTTTGGTCTGTATGAAAATAGGCAGACTTGAGAGCAGAGCTGGGGGCTCTGTCCAGTCCCATGACAACCCGAAACATGTGAGCTTTCTCCTATGAAGGGCTGAAAAATACCCAAGGCTTGCCTTCCCTAAGAGTGTTTGAATAAATCTATGTGTTTGAATGGTCCATGGAAAAACTGCTTTATCTTTTTATTTAATAGCCCTGTTAAGCTACTTCAAGGTATTTAAAAGCACTACATTAGGTGGAAAGAAACAAAAGAGAACCATCAGTG